AGCCTTTACTGGAACAAGAACTGAATTCAGTTAAACTTTAAAAAGGAAAGAAAGGAAGGAAAAACGAGTTTAAAAAAAGGAAAGCTCTGAAGAGAAAGTTGCGTTCATGGGACTGTCCCTGGGAAGACAGGCCTTGTGGTTGGAAGGAGTGGTCTGGTCAGCTCCCTGAGAGCAGGGCACGCTGGAATTACAGGAGAGTCCGTCGTCTGCCAGGGGGACCCATCAGTTTGGGCCAGCACTGGTTTGCTTGGGACAGTTGAAGCGCCCTGAGTCAGCTGGCCTCTGACTGTCCCCCAGGTGGACGCAGAGCAGAATGAACCATTGCCACACGCTTGAGACACTTCCAGTTACTGGCCCTGCCAGGACACTGGTGAGTCTCGCCTGGACCTGGGCACACAAGTGCTCTTTCTGCCCATCTCCCCCGAGCTGTCTCTCATCCAGAGCCGAGCACCGCCCGCCTGCACCATCCTGCTCGGCGGGCTGCAGTCACAGCTCTGGTGGGAGAGACTCTAGGGGGAGATATCACCTGCTTTGTAGTTGGCTTATAGGGCATCAGAGACAATGATCAACAGTCTGAAGGGGCAGAAGTTACAGCAGTGAAAGAATGGAGGGGCAACCACTGGAAAGGAACTTCTGCTTTTCAAGCTGATTCTTCTGAGACAGACAGTGTGTGAACCCTGAAGTATCAGAGTCATCCAACTGCCCAGGTAGATTTTTAAGAATCTTCCCCAGTATCTCTCTTCTTGCCAAAGTCTCGGGAAGGCAGGTTTGTTCTATAGTGACTGACTTTAGAGCGATGTTAGTGACACAGAAGTAGATTTACTGATGCTTTTTCACTTACTAAGGATTTCTTTTTTTTTTCTTAAAGCACTGACACTTCACTTTATGTGACCCTTTTTTGGTGTAAATCGAGGCTGTTGGGGAACACGTATTTATATGCTGTGCTTCCTCTCTTTTCCTCACATTCTATCACTAAGGATATTGACTTGAAAACAGGATCTTAGTATCCAGTGAGCTCACCTACTGCTGGTTTCCCACCAGACATTCCAGGGCTTGTGACATCAGCGTGTCCTGCTCGGGTGTCATTTGAAGAGCAGGCATCTGGAAATGATGAAATCCTGAACAACAAAGTCCTGTTTTCAGGAAGAGGCGTTCGTGGGGGAGGGAAAGGAAAGGAAGCTTCCCGTGCGTACCTACTGTGTGCCGAGCACTCTGCCTGTCTCCTGGTGGTGATGCTTTGCTAAGGGCGACGTGACCAGAGCGGATGAAAACCCCGTCAGCCAGAGCCGATCCAGCTTTCCTCCAGTTTCTCAAAAGCTGCTGTGGTGTTTGTTGTAACTAAATAAACTACGTGTCAGGTATCAAGGATCTATTGACTTTTAAATCAGAATGCAGCATTTGAATGTTTTTATGTCTTATTTGTCAAAAATCCAGGATGTGATGATACAGCGGTATATGTTGGATAATTCTCCATGTCTATGCTTACTGAATTGAAAATAACACAAGAGAAGTTTCCATTCATGAATATCTTTCCTTTAAAATACCTGAAAGACATGCATAAAAAAGACACATGTGGTCCCCATGAATTATCTTGTTCCACTATATTTCCAAATGGTACCCTCATTTTAAAACTTTCTTTAGAACAGCAAAAAGTCAGGCAGTGAGGAACAACCATTCAGTACCAGAAGAATGACTGTAAATTTTGCAGAGTTCGAAAAGTTATTTCTGCAAGGGTTTTCAGTAGTGTGGGAGCCTGTTATGACAGCAAGTGAAAGACTTACGGTTCTGACTCTGTCATCATTTGCACAGAAATGAGAGCAACACGTAAAGCAGGCAGGACTGTGGTGGAGGCAGGGAGGGGAGTGGTATTGCCTTCCGTGTATGTTAGCCCGCAGTCCTCTCAGGCGGGGAGACTGAGGAACATTCAGTCTGTGTTTTCTGGAATGTTCCACAGGCCGGTGCAGCTGAAGACAAAGTGGCGACCCTGCACTCTGGGTGGGGAGAGGGGGTCGGCCCCTTCCCAGACTCGAATCCACTTGGCCCTGGGCCACTGGAGACTAGAGCAGTTTCTGGGTTCAGACTGACAAGAGGCTTAATATGGAATGTGGCTCTGAAACCAGTTTTCCTCGTGTGGCATGTCTGGTGCCAATCTGCGTGGAGATGTTGTCACAAGCAATAACGTCTCACGGAGACATGCCGGAGTGACCCAAGGAGGCTGAGGAGAGGGTCTGGTGTCAGCCACGCTGTTCCAGGGAGCAGGCCACGGTCTCCTGAAGGCACCAAAAGCGTCTCTCACCTCTGTCTTCTGTGAAAGGCTGCATAAGCAAATAGCTATTGAGGGGGAAAGGTTTAAAAATTACACATTTTAGAAACACAAACTTTGAAGGGCAGTTTTTTCTTTTGTTTTATGTTTTGTTTGCTGACACCACTCAGCTTCTGGGATCTTCGTTCCCCGACCAGGGCCTGAACCCGGGCCCTGGGCAGTGACAGCACCGAGTCCTAACCACTGGACACCCAGGCCGTCCCCCGGGAGCAGTGTGGAGGTTCCAGGATGGACGCCCTTCCATCCCCGAGCCAGGCCCTGCAGCTCTGTGAGGCGGCATGGGGTTGAGCTCTGCTTCGTGGAGGGGGAAGCTGAGGCTGCCGGCGGGCCCTCTGGCCCTCCCCAGGCAGTGGAGATGGCCTCAGACCGGCCTTCCGACCCCACGGCCACCGCCCTTGGGGCCGTGACTGATTGGAAAGTACTCTGACCACCTGCCTGCTGTCCCCCCGGGAGCGGAACCCTGCCGAGAAACCCCTCGCCACTCAGCTTCTGGACACTGGGCTGCAGACCATGGGTGTAAAGGTTTGCTGTCCTCTCATTTGCTTTTCATTCAAACACAGAACAGTTTACCTGCAATAGTTTTTTTCCGCTTTTAAAATCAAAGTTGCTCTAACACTTAGGCTGTACTTACTTATTTTTAAAGCGACCTGGGCCCTTGTCTTGTCTGTCTTTTGTCGTGTGTGTGTATGTGAGAGAGAGAGAGAGAGAGCTTTATTTTTCTTAAGCTGCTGGGCCCTTGTCTTTTGTCATATGTGTGTGTGTGTGTGTGTGTGTGTGTGTGAGAGAGAGAGAGAGAGAAAGAGCTTTATTTTTCTCAAGCTGCTGCCTTGAGGCTGCAGTTCAGACACTCATTGAGGATTTCTGTCTTTGCTCAGACCGAGAGGAGAGCTTGGGCAGCTTTATGAACCCAGGCGTGGGGCAGGCTCTCCATGTGTGTTTACAGAGCTGTGCGGTGCTGTGGGATTGCTGGTGAGGCGTCCCTCAGCAGAGACAACCTCCTTTCCCCTGCAGAGGTTTTTCTCTAAGGCTGAACTGTTTCTTGCCTCCTCCCCCTGCACATGCGGCTCCTGGGCGGGAGCGCCCCAGTGCCCTGCAGTCAGCCCGCAGGCAGACAAGCTCTGCAGAGGAGGAGGCAAGGGCCCATCCAGCCACAGCGCCCACTCCGCCCGCCCAGGTTCCCCGCGGGGGTGCCGGCGGGCCTGCTGCGCTGGGCAGGCTGCAAGGGGGGCCGGTGAGGCTGGCGGGGACCGCGCCAGGCCTCCCCCACACCTCCCTGCTGTGCACTCCAGCAGGCCCAGTCGAGTGTTCCTGGGCAGGATCCTGGGGTGGGTTTATTGGAAAGGACGGTCTGCCTTAAGAAAATTCATTGAAGCAAATCAGCAGAGTGCCAAGAGCCAGGTGACAGCACAGGAGAGCGTCTTACCCGGAACACGCGCCTGTGATGGGAGCTGCAGGCTCAGAACCCTGCCCTTCTCACCGCAGTCCAGCCCGAGTCAGAGCCCCGTGGCCAGGGACCCTGCAGACCCGGCCTCAGGACTCAGCGGGGCCCCTCCGCGGAACTCCTACCAGGAAACAGAGCCCCTGCTCATGGCTAAACAGTTTTGAAAGTGGTCAAATAGGAAAGTTTCTCCCCACCCCCCCTTTTTTTAACCAAGAAAGCCTTTTTTGTGTCCTTCCAGACAGCTTTTCACATACTGTTAGCGTACATTCCTGTGTGCCACTTCTGCTGTTTGATACTGAAGGGAGGAGGCCACGAGTGACGCAGTTTTCATCTGAGCGCAGAGGAGGCCGTGTGGTCCTTTGGCAGTTTTGCTCAGGTCTCAGCCAGGTCTCCATCTGGACCCGTCCCTCCCCGACCCCTTCACCACCTCGGGGTTGAGCTTCCTCACCCGGAGGATGGACGGAGTGGGGCTGGGGCTCAGCCCGCTCCACAGAGCACCCTTGCCGTGAGCTCACGGCTGAGAAACTGGAAAGGAGGTGAAGGCCCCTGTCCGTTGAGGGAGGCAAGGCCGCACCCAGGCCGGTTGGCCCCGTCCCACGACAGACAAGGATGACCGGGCTCGGGAACAGCCATGACCGGGGACGGCCCGTGAGCCCGCGTCACAGCCCCCGGGGGCTCACCCCATGTGTGTCCAGCCCTGCAGCAGCAAGGCGGGCTTCTGAAGCAAGTCCTGGGCTTTTGGTCTTTCTGTCCCCACACTTCGCGTCGAGTCTCCCACGTAGCAAACGCAGGTCCGCGGAGGCTGGACAGACAGTCTCGCTGCCTTCTCTCCCAGCAACGCGAGTTCAGCATGCACGCACAGCCACGCGCGCTGCCTTGCGTATACACGGAAGGTCGGTGGCCACCTTCAGCCTGCTCACTTCGCGTCTCCGTGCCACATTTTGGTAATTCTCACCGTATTTCAAATTTTTACTCTCTTTTTTATGGTGCTCTTTGGTGTTAGGTATCGTGAGGTATGGGCTTCCCTTGTAGCTCAGTTGGTAAAAAATCTGCCTGCCATGCAGGAGACCTGGGTTGGTATGCCTGAACTTGCCCCAAAGACTCCACAGGGAGAATGTCCCCCAGGCACAGAGCTTGCAGAGGGACAGGGAAGGGGGCTCCTCAAAGGCTCTGGCGAGAGAGACGGCGGGTTCCCAACAAGTGGAGCATCGGGGTTGGCAAGCCTATAATGTCCACTGTCCCCGGGGCAGCTCAGGAAGGGAGCAGAGGCTGGGGCAGAGCTCAAGAGCAGGAGCTCTGACCCGGAAGACAGCCGAGCCCCCGCCCTGACCTCTGGAGCATCTCAAGATCAGGAGTGAATGCCCTCACCCAGGCCCCCTGAGGCCCCTAGTCCCTTGCGTGTCCAAGCAGAGAAAGCAGAGGCCTGGGGGGCAGTCCCCGCCAGACCGCCTGCAGGGGTGGTGTTCTCACCGCCTCAGGGCAGAGCGGGCTTCCTTGAGGCCCAAGAAGCTTCGTGGACCGGCTGTGCTGGCGACCCCAGGCTGCCCCATCTCAAGGGCTCTCCGGGCGGACCACTGCCGTCTGCACTGCATTTAGCGGCGGCTCTGCCGGTGCAGGCAGAGGGAGCACTGTCTCCTGTGTCGCTGCCTTGGTGCACCCCTGGGAAGGAGGGTGCAGAGCACCTGCGAGGTGAGCAGGTGGGCGCTCTCTCGCCCGTTGTAACTGAAGAACAGCGAGCTGGAATCTGAAAGTGTTGGCAACACCGGGACTGGAATCGCCTCGAACTTTCCAGAGTGTCTCCTGCAGTCACACTGTGGCTTTTCCCTGTGTAGTTTCAATCTTGACTTGCCAAAATACAATGCTTTTGAAATAAAAGAAGGGCTTCCCTGGTGGCTCAGGTGATAAAGAATCCACCCTTAATTCAGGAGAGCCAGGTTGGATCCTGGGCTGGGAAGATCCCCTGAAGGAGGAAATGGCAGCCCACTCCGGCACCCTTGCCTGGAGAATCTCGTGGGCAGAGGTGCCTGGCGGGCTGCAGTCCGTGGGGTCGCAGAGAGCTGGGCCCCGCCGAGCGACTTGGCAGACAATGCGCGCGGAAACAAGCGTGGCCTCGAGCGCCTGTGGTGCGTGCACGCAGGCACACGTGTGCACAGGCATTCACACACACCCTGCCAACTGCGGGGGAGCAAGGAGACAGTCTTGTCGCTCATGGCTCAGCCGTGCGTTTTCAGAAGCCTTACGCCTTTTTAGATGGTACTTCTAAACGAATACATGGCTTTTAAAAGTTCTGATAAACGTGAGCATTTAAACAGTCCTGGGAAGTGAGAATATTCCTTTCAACTCAGGCTTCCATGGTTATAAATAGAAAGGCCTCCTCTAATCTCAGAATCTTAAAAAGAAACCTTGATGTTGTTACGTGATTACCTAAAGGAAAGCCTTCCTCTTTGGGCCGGAAGGATATTTTTAAGAGAATGCTAAGCTTGTGACAGGAATTATCGATACCTTTGGAATTCTCTCCAGTGACTCGATCATTACCTGGGAATGGTTCAGGGACTGCATGACGCCAGTCCCCACGCTGTTTAAAGTGGAGCCTAGTTTCGCGAAAGAATGAGAAGGCGAGGATGTGCCTTTGTGCATTATTCTTACCGTGATGAATGATGCTTGTTTTCCTCTCCACTTTAATTAGAATGTTTCTACATTTGCCAAAGAAAATGTTGGAATGGAGACAAAACCCCGAAATTATAGGAACAGGGCTTGATGTAATAGCTTATTTGTAAAGGAAACACAACTTGTTTGGTATTTTATTGAAACAGGAAGTTCAGAACCTCGGTACACACAAGTACAACAAATTCTCAGGTGCTCGTTGAGTCATCTGTTGTTGGAAATAGTCTCCTGGTAGTTTTCCCCTGGATTTACTTTTTTATCTTTATTTTTGTTATTATTTTTTTTTTAAGCAGTGGGAGTGGATGGGTATAGGAAATTGCATAGAGATTCAGTGAGAAGCTGGTTACATTTTTAAAAAATATCTGCTATCAAGTTTAAATAAAGTGGGGAATTCTCTCCTTTTCCATATTTATATATGCAATCTTGGTAGGTACCTATGTACAAAATAAGGAAAAACAAAGGCAAATAAGCGTTTACCTCAATTCTGTTGCTATTTCAAAAGCAGTCATTGGTGAGAGGAATGGATTTGAGGTTAATACAAATTTCAGTTTGGTAGGCTAAAAAAAAGTACTGAATTAATGTAACAATCTTTTTTTTTTTTTAATCAATATTGTAATTTCAGAATTTAACTGAAAATATAAAACCCAAATGATTTCTATATAGTAAATTGAACTGTAAAGGTAAAAAAAAAGAAAAGCTTTGTAAATCCATGTTCTATTTACTGTTGTGTAATAAAGTAAGCATTCACAGCAGAAAGTAGAAACACTTTGCTTCCCAGTGTTAAAAACTTACAGACATGACTTGAACTGAGTTCATGTTGAGTCAGAAATCTTCAAGTTTAAATCCTTTTTTAAGGATTTAAATCCTTTGTTAAAAGTTTAAATCCTTTTTTTTCTAGCTCATTTTCTTTTTTTTTAAACTGGAGGCTGGCTGCTTTACAGGGATGTTCAGCCATACATCAGCATGACTCGGCAACAGGTATACGCACGTCCCCTCCCTCTTAAGCCTGCCTCCCACCTCCCTCCCACCCCATCCACCTCTCTGAGTTGTCACGGAGACCAAGTTGAGCTCCCCAGTCTTAAAGCAAATTCCCACTGGCTGGCTGTTTTACCTTTGGTAGTGTATGTTTCAGTGCTACTCTCTCTGTTCGTCCCACCCTCTCCTTTCCTCCTATGTCCCATCCTTTTCTGAAAGGCCAGGCTGGGCTGGCGCTTTAAAAACATGCGAAAGCTGCAGCGTGCCAAACCCTGGCAAGAGCGCAGCTTTGTGAAAACTCCCTGGCGCACTAACAAGCCAGGTGCTGCCTCCAGGGCGGGGTCCCAGAGAGTGCCTGGGCGTCGGGGGGCCCAGCCAGCCGTGTCCAGAGCACCTTTAACCTGGGCGGCCTGGGCTTCCACCCCCGGCTGCATCAGCACAGTTACAGATGTGCTGTCCGATCAGAGACGCCCCAGAAAGGTGCAGGCGCACGCTCTTCAGGAACTTTCAAAGGGGGCCAGTGCCAAGCGAGCCCTGCTCTTTCCAGAGGCAGCAGGGCCTGTCTCTTTGCAAACGAAGACTTAAAAAAACAATTTAGGTTCAAAGCAAAATTGAGAGGAAAGTACAGAGGTTTCTCATATACCCCCTCACCCTACACTCACACAGCCCCCCACCCCAGTTATCAACAGCTCCCCCCGCCCCCCTAATAGTATCTTTGTTACAACTGATGAAACTACACAGACACATCTCATCACCCACAGGCATAGTTCACATTTCCGTTCACTCTTGGCCTTGTCCATCCTGTGCGTTTGGACAAGTGTATAATGACATGTGTCCATCATTACAGTGTCATATGGAAGAGTTTCACTGCCCTAAAATCCTGTTTTTCCCCCGTTCATTCCTCTGCCAACCCCTGAAAACTCTGATCTTTTCAGATTGCCTTCCTTCACACAGAAATACGCATTTAAGGTTCTTCTTGTCTTTCATGGCCTGATGGTTCATTTATTTTTCATGCTGAATAATATACCACTGTCTGGATGTACCCCCAGTTTATTTAGCCATTCACTACTGAAGGATATTAGTTGTTTGCAAGTTTTAACAATTATGAATACAGATGTCATCAGCACTTGAGTGCAGGTTTTTGTGTGGACGTGGATCGGCACTGAGGAGTGTGACTGCTGGACTGTACAGTAAGACTATGTTTAGTTTTCTAAGAAACCAGCAAACTGTCTCTCAAAGCGGCTGTACCATTTCACGTTCCCGTCGGCAATGAACAAGAGTTCCTGTGGCCCCACACCCCACACCATGTCAGCATTTGATGTTGTCAGTGTCTGGATTTTGGTCATTATAATGGGCGTGCAACAGGCTTCCCTGGTGGCTCAGTGGTAAAGAATCCGCCTGCTAATGCAAGAGACTGGGGTTCAATCCCCTGGAGAAGGAAATGGCAGCCCGCCCCAGGATTCATGCCTGGAGAATTCCATGGACAGAGGGACTGGGGCAGGCTCCTGTCCATGGGATCACAAAGAGTTGGACACGAGCTCGTGACTAAAGAACAACAGCGAGCATGCAGTGTTCATGTTTTTCTGATGACATATCATGTGGAACACATGCAAATAAGCTTCTGTGTCATCTGTGGACCATCTTTGGTGAGGTGTCTGTTAAGGTCCGTGGCTCATTTTCCAGCCCAGCAGGTACCTCCTTTTGAAGTCTGCAAGCCTGCCACTTTTAGCACGTTTATGGTACCCCTGCATCATGGGTTTAAATTTGGGATGCGCTTCTGCTCTTGGGCCTGCCCCTCGGGGCTCCTCGCGGGCTTGTTCTGCACTCACACTGTGCGGGTCCTGCAACACACGCCCATCTCAAAGGAAGGTCCGGGCTTGCAATGCCCCACTCCTGCTTTGAGACTCACCCGAGACGATAAATGTGACAAGGCGGAAAGTTTACGGCTCTGTGATGAGAGATTTCTTCTAGTTAGATTTCCTTTTCATTAACTAAGTAACCCTGAACAAAACAGTATTACCATGAAATGAAAGAAAGGAACCTGCATGCATTTGTGTAAACACGAGGCTTTGGTTGTTTACTTTTTGTCATTTTTGGATTGGTCAGTGATGAAGGTAACCCTAGAAACGCTGTGAGGCAGTAGGGGAAGGTCTGGAAGCCCACCCTGCCCCCCAGACATGTTGGGTTGCTTTTAGAGCTGCAGACACCCTCACATAGAGGCTGCACTGCCCAACCACTGCAGCACCTGCAGACACAAGGTTTGATGAGCAAAGCTTGAGGCAAGGAAAAAGCGGGAGCACCCGTCCAGGCACGCTGCCTGCGCCCATGCAGAGAGAGAACGGACCTGCAGAGGTGGCTTGAGGCCCCTGGAGTCATCGTCGCCCCCGCCTCCAGGGCCCCAGAGCCCGCAGCGGTGTCTCCCAGGGTCTCCCCTCCACTTCCACTGCCTTCAGCTTGCCTCGGAGATGTGTCTTTGGAAACCAGACCTCATCATGTTATCATCTGCTTTTACATCCCTTTTGACTTCCCTTTGCCTGCAAGATCAAGTTCAAACTCTGTGAGGAAACATTCAAGACCTCACCAAAGCTTGTTCTCAGCCCACCTTCCCACTGTCCCGAAATGCCAGCCAGCTACACAGGACTACCCACAGTGCCCGA